ATATATCGTTCTCTCTGTAATTTTCTGTCGCTGTCTTGTTCTTCTTGTCATTCTACTGTTCTGTCTTTTGTTCTTTCATTCCATCTAAAGTTATTTTATTCTTTCTATCGTTCTTTTTGTGGTACTAACATTTTATCATTCTTTCTGTATATCATGTTTTATCATTCTCTGTTCTTTATCTGGTTCCATCCATCCATCCATCCATCCATCCATCCATCCATCCATCCATCCATCCATCCCTATTTGGCCTCTGTGTTTGTGATTAAAGAAGGTTTCCATCCAATTTTTAATACATTTTAATCAGTCCAGTAGCAAAAACAGACGTTTAATTGTGAAGGTCAGTGAGTTTTCATGACCATTTTCAACTTTCTCTCTATTTAAAAATCTCGGCTAAGATTATATGTGCACTTAAAATGTTGTTATGTCATTAATGCCTGTTGAATGAACACAAAGTAATTCACAAAGTTTCCAGTTACTGTATGTTTTCAGTACAGAAGCCACAAATTTCTCAGAAATTAGGAAAATCTCCAGAAATGTGCCGGTCAGTGTCTTGTTTGTCACATCTGTTTAACACACGAGACTGTAGAAGTCACTGCCATCGGCAACTCTGTGTCTCCTAGCAACAGAGTTTCAATCCCAGCCGTACCGTGGTGAATTATGGTCACTGCTCAGCTGTTTATAAAGCCGACTCACCCGTCTACATGCTGTTTTTAGCATTCACTCACACAGAATTATGAATTATTGAATATTTGCGTCCCCAACAAATTAGTGCGGACAGCTTGAGCTGTGGGCCTCCCTCCTTTTCTTCCTCTCCTCGGCTTTTGAGTTTGAGTCTGATGACATTTGATTGCAATTTTGAATAATTGTACACAGAGGCTATTTTCAGACTGTAGTGTATATGAAAATTAGTTTCACGTAGCCAGGCTTATTTTTTCTTCTGCTTATTGAAAGTCTCAACTTTTGAATATCTTTCAAAGATTCAATGCCTTGGAAGCGCTCATCTTGGCAGCTTGGGAACAAAAAGCAAGCGTGACTGTTTTTCTGTTTGGTGACTCGCAGAAACTGGGAGATAAGCATAAAAAAAGGTTGAAAAAGATTCCCGTAAATCACGTAAAGCTAGCCAATCTGAGATTATGATTTTGGAAAGCTTCATTATTATGCGCAATATGCTTCAGATGATCCATGAACGGTCTGTCAACACGCCGCCTGAAACCGAGACTGTATGAAATGGCTGTTTATATGGTAATATGTTTGGGAAATTCAAATTAAATCTAGATAAAAACACTAGAAAAAAAAATCCATGCTCTATTTTTGTGTTCTTAACTTAGTTCTATAGGCCTCATTAGCAGCATGCTAATTGTAAATTTTGCCTTTTGCAGAGACTTTGGAGATTAAACTCGTGGTTTGAGATCCCCAGGCTCCAAAAAAAAACAGATTGTAGCGTTGGCAGGCGTGCGTGCTCGGGGTGGATGTAGTCTGCTGTCCTGTTCCGTTCAGGACCGCTGCCAGGAAGAAGCCCTCCAGGATGACGGCTCGCAGGCCTGGGAGCGTGTTGTTGTGGAACAGGGTTTAACATCTGTCTGGGTTGTTTATTTCCATCCGTGTTGTTCTGAAAAGAGGATCACGGCTCTCGAGAGACAGCTGGAATAGATGAGCGCTGGGGAAGAGCAGACACTGAGAATTAAAATGCTAAAACAGCAGCGTGGGTTCAGTCCAGTTTAATATTTGCTCTGTTTGTCAGTCTAACTGTTACCGTAATTCATGTTTTTTAACAGCAAAAACAGTGGAGGAAAAGTTCAGAAGTGTAGATGGTTCTTTGATTTATCCAAAATCTTATTCTCTATATGCTACTGGTCAAGTTTGGGGTCGGTAAGATTTTATAATGTTTTTAAAAGAAGACTTTTATGCTCACCAAGGTTGCATTTTTTTGAGAAAAAATGCAATAAAAACAGTGATTTGGTGAAATATTATTACAATTTAAAATAACTGTTTTCTATGTGAATATATTTTAAAATGTAATTTATTACTGTGATACAAAGCTGAATTTTCACCATTATTTCTTCAGTGTCACATGATCCTGATTTCGATCATGTGCATGATGCTGATTTGCTGCTCAAGAAACAACACTGCTCAAGTCTTATTATGATTATCAATGTTGAAAACAGTTTGTGCTGCTTATGTTTACAATATTTTTCCACAAATATATGTTGCATATGCATATTTTTGTGGAAACGGATGCAATTTTTTTCACAGGATTCTGTCATGAATAGAAAGCTTGACAGCATTTATTTGAAATAGAAATCTTTTGCAACATTATAAATGACTTTGCTGTCACTTTTGATCAATTTAATATGTCCTTGCTGAATAAAAGTATTAATTTCCTAAAAAAAAAAAAAAAATTACCGACCCCAAATTTTTGAATGGTACTGTAGTAATTTACTAAAAAAAGTATTCTTCCTTTCATTTGCATGTTTTCCTTTAGCACCACATTCTCTAAATGAATTAAGCAAGTCATGATCACTACAACATATTCATCCCTTTTTAATTAAATCTTGTTGATTGACAGCTTTCCATCAGATGTATAGCGATTGGTGCAATGGTAAATATTGTTACCCAGAAAAAAATATTTAAGAAGCAATTCATATATATTCAAATAGGAGCTCATACAGGTTAGGCTGGACTTTAAGTGGAATGTGAATAAAATGTCAATTTTGTGATGCTAATTCATAGACATATCCATGAGCAAACCTTTATATTCTATTTGTGTTCAGAGATATTTAAGGTTTCCCAGCTCTTAAATGGTGGTTCTTGGCCAGAACAATCTGTAGTGTCATGTTAAAGGTCAAACATCTGACTTCAGACATTCTTTTGTGACTAAATCAAGGTTTTGGGTTTGTAAACCCAAGAGTTTAGACCGAATTGTATCACTGCTCATAGACACCAGAGGTTATCAGTCAGCTTATGTGAAAATAAGCATCAGTTATGTTCGCTCAGAAATGGTCAAACTCTTCGCCAGGCCTCAGACAAACAGGTGGCAGGTGTTAATACGCGTCAGCGGGTTGATTTCAAAGTGTTTTCCCAGTGAATGTCTGATGATTGTATTGCAGCATCTTATTCATGCGTTCTTCAGTCTTTCATGTGGAAATGATTCATGAGGATCGTGTGTCTGTAGGGCAGACGCTCATTTAAATGTTCACAGACGTGTTGTGCGGCACTCATTTGACTTCGTTATTTGGCCTCTGCCTATTATTCATCTTCAGTGAGGTTTGGGAGCTGTTAGCATCTGAATGAAGCTTTGAACAGCCGTTTCTTGTGTCTTCACACAGAGAGACGACAACATGAACAGAGAGAGCGAGTTTGTAAGATTCTCGTTACACACTGGGATCAAACTCTCAGTTGCATTTCTCCTTAGGCAGCAACAATGTAGAGCAGTTTCAGTAAAATATAGAATAAGAAGATAAACAGCACCTGAAGTAAATAGTATAGTGGAGATGAGGGCTGCACAATTAATTTAATTTCTAATTGCGATTACAATTATGGATGCCACAATTACGTAATCGTTCAAAGCAGCAATTAATCGTTCAAAGTTCACTTGTTATTCTGTTATTCTTAAGATGTGTTTTTTTCTTTCTACATGTTATCTTAAGGGTTTTTCCATTGTTTTAGTTTTAGTATAACATTATAATACCATTCATATTGTAAAGAAGAAACCAATCCGATGTATAGTTGACATTTGAGGCTTAATACTATAGAAAAGCACTAAACAATTTTCAGTTAGAGTGTTTTCAGCTTGTTTATTTTCACATAAAAATGCGGCATGCAGTTGCATTAAACAATGGTATAAACATCATTCAATGTAAATTGTGATAATCATAATTAATGATCGACAGTTATGATTTTTGTCATAATCGTGCAGCCCTAATGGAGATACAGTGACACATTCCATGACTGAATGATTACTATAGTCATGTATATTGTTATTGACACGGCTTATTTTTTATTAAAATAATTGTTATTATATTTTATTTTATTCTTATTTTTTAATATTTAATTTTATTTAGGTCTAGTTTTAATATTATTTGATTCGATTTTTAAATTAGTTTTAATATTTTTTAATTAGTTTTAATATTATTGTATTATTTTAATATTACATTTTCATTTTAATTATTTTTTATGCAATTCGATTAAATCAGACACTTGATTTGAAGTATACCATATAAAAAAAACTATTTGCCAAGTGCAGAGAGTGTGAGGAGTTGCTCTCGGTGCAGTTGATCAAAACATATCTGAGCTTTTGATCTAGTTATTTCTGATATTTTTTTTAAAGATATTTTCTGTGATGGATTTCTTCTCTAAGGTTTGAATCACCAAAGTTTTATAAATTTGCAGTTTACCAGGGTGAATCATTTAATACCAGCAAGTTTTCGAGTTGATTGGATAGTTAGCCAAAGAAAGGTTTGACTCGCATACTGTAATAAAGGGAATTTTTGAGAGAAATTGAATTATATAGATTGTTATACAGCAGGGGCTCCACCAATTAATTCATCCAATTTTTGTGAGAAATAAAAAATAGACTTAAACAAATTTTTTTTTAATAATATATGATTTTAAAGTGCATATCATGCCTTTACATATGATGTGGTTATATGGTACTTTTGTAGTAGCTGCTGTGGTTTGATTTAGCGATAGAATTTATTTTATAATCTATTTAATCTACCTAATAAATTATATATTAAAAATATCCATCCATATCCGTCTCAAATACACCTTTTATAGTCATTGTTTTATATATATTTTAAATTTTAATAAGGATGATGATGATAATAATAATAAAGATTTTAGAGTTTTTTTTTCCATATTTCCAAATATTTCCAAATTTTTTATAAATCTTTTTTTTTATTATTAGTTTAAAAATCCTTGTTTGTCACTGACGTTTGCAGGTCATTTCATTCCTTAGTGCTGTACAGTAATGAAATATTTCCCTTCTTTCTCTCTTGCAGAGAAGCTGTTTGGTGAGTTCTTGACCTGGGACCTGCAGGACGCTCTGTCCCACCTGCCTCTGAAATCCGGTCAATCTGTCTCCATCCCTGTCAACATAAGCGCCAAACTGGACTTCTCCGGTCAGGAGAACCTGTTACACGACCTGAACGACGGTAAACATCCACACGACACGCAAAAACAACATCATTGGGGTCCGTTCTGGTTTGTCCCATCCAATTTACGCTCAATTTCTGAGAGTGCATCACCGGAGCCATCGCACTATAATCAAGACAGGCTTGATTGCTCTCTGATAGATAGAAAGGCAGTATTCACTTTGCCCTGTTATGCTAGATCTGATCCAAGCGAGGTGATTTGAAATGGTGTCTGCACCCTCTCATTTCACATTCAACAGAGACATCGGCTGTCTCTCTCCTGTATTACCCCCTCTCCGTCCCCTCTGCCCTCTCTTATTTCCTCTCTGGATTCATATCTATTTCCTCTTCACATCTTGTCCTTTTGTCTGTTTCCTGGTTATATAACACTTATACCTTCTTTCTTCCTGTCTAACCTCTTGTTTTACCTCTCGAGCGCACTGAAAAGGAGAAAGCACCATTATCACAGTTGTTTCTACTAAACAGCACTGAAGTGGAGTTCAAATTTGCTTAAAACTATATACCATATGGTTTTGAAATAGACAAATCTTCATTCACATGTACACTGTAGTGTTCAAACGTTTGGGTAGTATCTGTAATATATATATATATATTTGAAAGAAAAGTTAAAACTTTCATTTATAAGGGATGCATGAAATTTATTGAATGTGACAGTGAAAGTGACATGAACTTTCTATTTACCCCAAAACATTTTTTTTCTGTTTTAATAACAGTTTTCAACATTGATAATAAGAAATGTTTCTTGAGCAGCAAATCAGCATATTTGAATGATTTCTGAAGGATCATGTGACACTGAAAATTGGAGTAATGATGCTGAAAATGTATAAATGAATAAATAAATATTAAAAAAGTAAAAAAAAAATTAATGAAATATCAATAAAAAAATAAAAATAATAAATATGAAAATGAACTATAATTAAAATCTCGTTAATCTATATTTTTAATTTATTAAATTATTATTTTTAAATATTCAAATAGAAAACCGTTTCCTCTTTTAAATGGTAATAATATTTCACAATATTAATGCTTTTACTGTATTTTTGATCAAATAAGTGCAGCCTTGGTGAGCAGAAGAGACTTATAAAATTATAAACTGATGTAAATGTGGCCTGTGGTGTTAATATTTCAAATTTGTACACATTTGATTCAGTAAATGGTCTTTCTTTAGGAAAAAGATGGAAGGAAATTAGATGTTCTTTCTCACTGAATGTCAACAGTTGAGTTTTTTGTATATTTTTTAAGGGATTAGAGAAGAAACTCTTGCAATAAAGTATAAAATGTCAGTAAAAATAATTTGCAACCTCTGAGAATGGGAAATGTCCTCCAGGTTCTCTGTGTCTGTTTGTATGCACATGTAGATATGAATGAAACACGAGGAGAGCAGACTGTTGCAGACGAGCGGCGGTGTGCGTCTGTCTGCTGCGTTTCTGCTTGAATTACAAACAGGTGCGCTATGAACAGCCTCCTTCCTTTCTCTCTCCCGGGTCTCTCCTCAGACGCTGCTAAAATGTTTTAATTATTGTTGAAATAATCATTTTCTCTGAACTAGGCCGATAAGACTGTCCTATTAGCGCAGCATGTAGAGGGCAGTGAATTGTAAACACTGCTGATGTTATCGCAGGTGCAAATACATCATTGCTGTTATTTAGCAGTAATATTAACACTGTGTGCTATTGGTTTTCTTATCATTGTGGTTTGTAACTGTAGAAATGATTGTAAAAGATCAAAACAAGTCATTCAAATGTTAAAGTGGTTGATGTTGCACTTCCTCATCTCTGATTGGCTGCTCAGCCTTCTCTCCATTGTGATGTCATAAGGGGATGCAAGACATCCTTGGTGTTGCATGTTTTGCATGAAGCCGCTTCCAGACTGTTGTCAACATATTTACCCAAATTTTAGACATATCTGTACACGTTTTCTGGCCTGCGTGAATTAAGTAAATCCAAGGGGAAAAAACTGATGCATTTTCAACATTTCTAACTTGCATTTGTAAATGCAACATGTGCTAATCATTTTATTAATATGTTGACAACATTTTTAGTGTCTCCCAGTGGTTTTCTACCAAAATAAAAGCCCTAAAGTTTAATGCTTGACAGCAAAGAAATTAAGACAACCATAAATATTAGTATTGGAAATGTACTTTTATTCTTTAAAATAGCTAATTATTTATTAGTAATTATTCTTTAAAATAAACGTATTCTTATTCTTAAAATGCTAATTTTTTTTTGTTTTACGGTACAGTAGTATTATTACAATAGTTGAACTTTTGACAGCAAAGACATTAAGGCAACCATAATTATTATATTGAAATTATTGTAATTATTATTAACAGGTACTTATTCTTTATTTTGCAGTAGTCGTACAGTGGTATAGTACATTGCAATTGAATTACAATTATTACAGTACATTTTTTATTTAATGTTTAAAATAAATAAATACATTTAAATAAATACGAATATTTTGTTAATTTTTTTATTAAATATTTTATTTGAATAGTTTTTATTTTACAGTGCAATAGTGTTGTTATTATTATAGTTTAACGTTTGAAAGCAAAGAAATTATGACTTTATATTATTTATAGCTTTTTATTGCCATATTGTTGCTGTTGTTTATTATTATTATTAATAATAATAATAAATACTTTTTATTTTACAGTGATACTACAGTAGTATAGTATTGTTACAACTGTAAGTTTAGTTTTTATTTTATTTTTCTAGAATTTAAATAAGTACTGTTGTTATTATTATTATTATTATTATATTGAATGGGGAAAAATGGTTTCCTTATTTTTGGTTATCACAATAGTAATGACTTTTAAAGGTTCACTTCGTAAATTTGTTGTTAACCTGCTGATTAATCAGTTCAATAATGAATGAGTTGTTAGACTGATTCAGTTGATCAGAGTGAGTTTAATCAAACAGATTCATTAAAAAGAATCGGCTTATGGAAAACATTTGTTAGTTGAACACACCGTACATTTCCTTTCTGTATCTTTGGCTCTGTTCTCTTCATCCCTTTGTCTTTGCCCTTTTTTGTCTCTATTGCTCTCTCAGCGTCTGTCTCCATCTCTCCTGTCAGCATAACTCTGTGATGCAATGCTCTGTCTGTCTCTCTCTCAGGAGGCCATTGGGTTCAGTCTGTACGGGAGTTTCTTTAACATGCTGTGCGCTTTCGTTCATTCATCCGCCCTCTATAAATCGTCTCCCCGTCAGAGAGCGGCAGAGCGCGAGGGCCAGACAGTCAGACTAAACACATTAGTGCCTGAATGTTAAAATGTCAGCGCAAGAACAACATAATGAGAGAGGAGAGCGGCTCCATTAAACCGGACGGCTCCCCCCGCTGAGAGCCCGCTGGAGGTAAGTGTTTACCCTTCATGTGGGACGTCAGCCGACCACAGAGCTCCGGTGCGGATGAGGTCACGCCGCCTCATAGGGATGAACTTGCTAGCCTCATTGGGTAACGTCTGGTAATCGCTGAGCACCGCGTTTTTCAATGCGACCCGCTGTGTTTTTCTTAAGCAGGGGGAGTAAATGACGTCTGTTAGACATAAGCTGAAGATGTTCATTAGGTGGATCATTTGAGCTGATATTGAGCTCCTAGACTCTTTTATTTATTTAGCATACGTTCAAAAGGTAAAATCAAATTATGACAGAAAAAGAATCAAGAATGCAATGCTAGTAGGTGTTAATTATTTGTTGTAATCAGGCTATCATCACATTCCCATTGTAGTCCCCACCCTTACTAGAGCCAGATGCCAAAATAATCTTGTCTTGCTGGGCAACTGGCTGTTTGTGTTGTGTTGTGTTTTTTTTATTTATTTTTATTAAGTTTTATTTTATACACTACCTTTTAGACTTTTAAAGGCATTATATAAAAAACAATTAATTATTATTATCATTATTATTAAATTATTAAATCTTTTAAGGTGCTATATAAAATATGTCTTTATTATTTTAATATTAATAAAGTATTTAATTATTATAAAATAAAAATTATTATTATTATTATAAAAATATTATTATTAAATCATTAAATGTGCTATATGAAAATTATTATTTGTGCATTTTAATAATAATAAATTATTTAATGTTGTTTTTATATTAATATTATTAATATTATACATATTAAAAACCTTTATGCCCTGTATTATTATTATTAGTAGTAGTAGTAGTAGTAGTAGTAGTAGTAGTATAAATATTTATATAATATTTA